TGCAAATAAATCGTTTGATATTCAAGCATTAACAGCCAGCACTATCAGGCTCAACTGGCCTCCCAGCTCTGGAGGGAAAAGCTCTTCCAGCACAAGGCAGTATCCAGTACAGCTCTTTGAGATGGGACTAGTCAAGCATTGCATGCATGCAGCTGTATTGTTCTTCCTCATCCAAGCTAGCTCACTCAGGGCTCTTGAATTTGCCATGTTTACACACCCCAAGTCTTTGTCATTTTACATGGCTTGCAGTTGAACATTTTTTAATCTGCTTTTCTTGTATCAAAGTACTCATTACACTGTTTTATGACAGCCTAGTGATTGAAGAACTGCTTCTTGGATTAGGATATATGGATTAGGAAAAAAGGGCATGATGAAAACTAGTTGAAATAATCCATCTTTGGTTAATTCCACCAGCTCCTCACCCATGCCCTCTTCTAGGTCTGTTTTTTCTACAATAATCATGGATTACTGCTGACACAGTATTATCTGTAGCATTTTAGTGTAGCATTTTAGATCATTCCTTTGGGACCTCAAATGACTTTACATTCTCTCATTTTAATTATACATACCCAGTATAATGTAGGGATCTGGAGATAACAAGGCATGAGGCCTTGGGCTGCTTTATTGCGTAAGAAAGAAAAAAAACTGATTTATTTATTACCTAAACAAGAACACTGAAAGGAAATAACATAGTAAAAATCTGTGCCCAAGTGTGACCGGTCTTTGGATCCATCTGTACACACTCCCTTGACTGTACCCACTCCGTTCACGCACAGCATCTCAGGCTTTCCCAGCTGTGGACCTTCCCAGGGCTCTGACCTGCGATCAAAGAATAGTGAAGGGAGGCACAGAGCAAAAACATCTGTGCGTTCCAGAGAGTGTAGTGGGATGCTGTGTGTAATGCGGATTGAATGACCTCTGTGGTTACTACTTCCTTCATGGCAATTTTATATCTTCGCATGCCATGCCAGCAGAATAATCTTGATCATCATAGTGACCTCTGGAATATCCTTTTTTCTGCATGCGGTTCTGTGCACATAGCTAAAGAATACCTCCTCTCATGATCAAGCCTATCATGCTCTCTGGAAACAACTGGAATGCACCAAGAAGATGAAAAAAAAAGAAAATTAGGAAAAAAGGAAATTAGCAGTAATACTGAAAAGGTACATATTCAAGGCTTCTACCCCAATCCTGTATAGCGTCACCCAGAAAACAGGCTGCAGAGCAGATGCTGATTTAACGAGAAAAGAAACCGAAACTATGTTTTGCAGGTATACGTGGCATGGAACAAGGGAGATGTGAGGACCTGCTTGTCATGTTGCTATTGCCTAATTAAAAACTAGTAGTTATTACTCTCATTAGGGATGCTCAGTGAAGCCAATTAAATAACGTTTTCTGAAACTGAAATACTTTGTTCTGACTTCACATCACCTGTAAGTGCTAGACAATCAGCTCTAGAAAGCCACCATGTACCATTCAGAAGAGCCTGACGTCCTCCAGATACTACACATGAAGCAGAAGTCAAACCCTCAGAGATGGCCACAGCATAGAGGAAAATCACTCTCCCACTAAGGTTGAGCACCTCTCTCTGTTTAAAAGATTACACAAACTGTTCAAAAATCCATATTCACTGTTTGTGTTGCAATCTGCTGAGCCTCCAGCGCACCTGAAATAAAGCCAGAGGCCCGATCATTTGAGAAAAGTAAATTAAATCCTTGCCACTTTCTCATCACAATTTTTTAAAAGGCATTGGGAAAACTGCCTGATTAGTTTAACTATTAAAAACTGTGTCGTTAGTCTTTCTCAAACACGTTTCAAACATGTATGGCCTCATTGCCCTGCTGAGGAAGCAAAAATTTCCAAAAATAAGGACCAATCTTCCAAATCCATGGTGACTCAAGTTAAGGAGATGAGTTGAGGAGGTTAAGCATTGAAGTGCATTAAGATTTGGACCTTGTTGACAAGTTGGGTTTCACGTAGCCTGTTATTACAGAAACAAGAGAGCTCAAGGCCACAACCCCCTTGGCTGCTGAAGTTAACTTGTGAATTGCAATCCCAACACCAGCTGACTCTAGAGAAAACAGAGATCAAGGACCACACAGAACCTCCTTCTGCAGCGAGAGGCAGAAACTTTGTCCTAAGTCCACAGGATTCCCTATTTAGCAATAATATCTCAAAGTGCCTTAACAACCAGAGGCAGGCACTGATTTTATTTCAAAAGCATAGCTATGGAAGCGATCGTTAATTAAAACGAGGGAAGATGAAAGTAAGCGGCTGGGAATGGTACAATGTGACTGACAATATTCACAGGCGTCCTGAGCAGTGGAACGAAATGCAGTGACAGGCAAGCACGTAGCTTCATCCTTTGCCCAAAGCACTCCTGGCCTCTGAACACGCAGTGTGCACACATTTTCAGGCTCTTACGGGATTTTTTTCTATAATATCATAGACAGAGGGATGACTTCAGCTAGGTCATTCTCCATCTTAATTTGCTGAAAATAGTTCCACTTGTAAAACCACAAACTAACTCAAGGATTACAGCCCAGCCCAGCCTACCAAAGGCAGGACAGAAATGAAGCAGCACTAATCTGAGGTGACAAATCTCAATTTTCTTGCAAGTGATGTCTAACTCCTGAATAGTATTTCTATCCATGTTATACTATTTTCACAGAAATCAAACAATTTATCCCATACACAAACAGCTTCATGTACTGAATAGATGATAATTTTTTAACATCAGATATTGCCATGGAAGAGCAGGAAAACCAGCTCTTTATAACACCTGTGTGTCTCTGATGTTTTTAAGGTACTTCATTAAAGATTTATTCCTATAAAGCTTTTACAAAGACTGCATCGACAATAATCCACATGGGGTTAATTAATATTCTGAACCAGAGTAGTATGACCATGTGACAGGATGAGTCTTACTGTATCTTAATTTCATTATCTAAATGGGGACTACAGACACCCGTCAGATTTCCACCCAGTTGAAGAAGCAAGAGAGCAGCTCTGTGACATGCCTAGGCACCGGGAGTAGCAGAAATGCAAAGCACTATTACTCTGACTCAGCTGACTGTATATACAGCTACGAAGTACAGATGGCTTTTAAGTCAAAGGGTGACAATATTATTAATTTATTTTCAAATCATCTTAAGCACACACTTCAACAAATGTGATTTTTTAGCAGAGCTAAAAAAAAAAATCTACCAAAAAGCCAACTAGCCATTTGACTGCCCTCTGTCGAATACTAATGGACCTTTTTCTTCTTGAATTTCACCAATCATTGCAATTCAAGAAAAAAATTTAACTCAAGCCAATTTAGAGTGTCACCTTCAATCTGACCCTCTGATGAAGCAAATTCTCAGAGGCGAGTTACATGACTACACTTCACTTGCTCATTTCAGGAGCATTTTCTATACTTTGTTATTGTGTAAGAGACCTGGGCAGAGACAAAGCAAAGCTTCCCAAATAGCAATACTGGGAAACTATAAAGCTGATCAGATACAAAAAAGTGTCAGGTGCACAAGGTGGACATACGAAAAGCGAAATTATTTCTCCTTTTTAAGGTCTTAATAGTATTAGTTTTAACAAAAGACTGTAAAACATTTTTCATACAGCCGCTTGACTTTAAAAATTAATTTGAAATGTTCCAGCAAAGCCTAAACCATACTGACAGCACAATACACTTCAGTGAACTAATTCTAGGTGCTTTGCATTTCGATAAAACTTCTCCTGGGAGGGAATCCAAGTAGTTAAGAGAAAAAAAAAATCAATTAATTAAGTCTCTTGAATGACAAAGGCCTATACAAAGTTTATACTCTGGCTCATAAAAAGTAAAATGTTCATCCAAGGATAAACACTAACAAATAATGAAAATCCCTTGACTTCCTGGTTTACAACCTGTTCACTCACCTAAACAGTTTCAGTATTTCACCCAAGATAAACAGCTATAATATGAACTGCTCTGTACAAACTATAGTGTGTTCCAGCTGCTCTATACAAACTATAAACTTACCATTCAGCATAATGCAAGCTGCTCCTGAAACTTACAGTATGAAACTTTCATAATGGGATCATTCCCATTCATGAGGTGACTTGTGAGCATAAGAATTTGCAGGGCTTGGGGAAAGCATCAATGAAGAACTCCAGGCAACAAGTGCTCAGGTGCTTCATGCTTCTGCAACACGCAACTTTTAGTCAGCGATGTGGCCTGCTGGCTAACAACGCAGTAAGGCGTACATACAGTCCTGCACAGCTGGTGCAGAGGTCAAAAGAGCTGTTACTTTCCTACTTTTTTCCCCCCAAGTACATTTCTTGAAAAATACCCAGAGCAACAGAATATTCACAACGGCTAGTAGGAAGGACAAAACTCCCATTCGTTAAGTATGATTGATCTGTTGCACAGGTGTGTTTTCATAGCAAAGGCTGGAAAACTCCAATGTAAGCAACAAGACTTCTTAACCTCCTGTACTTTAAAAATATAATGTATTGCACTCTACAGCAGTTTGCTAAAGGTCTATCAGCACTTAAAAAATACTATCTTGTTTGTGGTCCTAAAGACACACACGAGAGAAAATTCAGGGAGGCTATTTATGTTCCTGTTGAAAGAGTTAGGGTCATTACTGAATTAAACTTCACAGCTTATTTCACACAAAAAAAGAAAAACTAAGACACAAAAGGAACCCAAGACCACAATCTCTGCCAAGGGAAGAGTCAGGATAATCCTTGCCCACTCATTTGACCATTGCCTCTCTTTTTGAAAGTTCTTCAACACCATCACTACTTCTCTGTATGTTACAGAAAAGTCCCCTTAACCTGCTTTTAAAAATCCATAGGTATCCTCAATAAATAAAAAAAGCTATCAGTAGTGCAAATGTCTGTCTACTGCAGTATTTTAGCATAAGTAGTGAGAACCTTACCCTACATAACAAACTGTCTTATTTTGAACTTGTTAACGATGTACATTAAATGCAGAGATAAACAAACAAACAAAAAAATACCTGGTGAGCTCTTCTTTAATCTTCAAGGGTTCATGTGGGTAGAATTTCACTCTAAAGCACATGGTATATGGTGGATGAGCTGAAACATTATAAAGAAAAAGCATGAGAACCGTAGCAAACAAACATTGCCTCAGCCACTCTGAAGGAGTGGCCTCCAAGAGTCCTACAAAGTAGCCTGTGTGATGGTTAGCTCTGAAGCATCTCTTGCTGCCCTTCATCAGTTGCATCAGTTGCCCCTCTACTCTGCTCTGGTGAGACCCCACCTGGAGTACTGCATCCAGCTCTGGAACCCTCAGCACAAGAAAGACATGGACCTGTTGGAGCGGGTCCAGAGGAGGGCCACGAAAATGATCAGGGGGATGGAACGCCTCTCCTATGAAGAAAGGCTGAGAGAGTTGGGATTGTTCATCCTGGAGAAAAGAAGGCTCCCGAGGAGACCTTATTGTGGCATTTCAATACTTAAAGGGGGCTTGTAAGAAAGATGGCGGCAAAATTTTTAGCAGGGCCTGTTGCAACAGGACAAGGGGGGTAATGGTTTTAAACTAGAAGAGGTATTCAGACTAGATATAAGGAAGAAATGTTTTACAATGAGTGTGGTGTGGCACAGGAACAGGTTGCCCAGAGAGGTGGTAGATGCCCCATCTCTGGAAACATTCAACGTCAGGTTGGATGGGGCTCTGAGCAACCTGATCTAGTTGAACATGTCTCTGCCCATGGCAGGGGGGTTGGACTAGATGACCTCTAAAGATCCCTTCCAACCCAAACTATTCTATGATTCTATCCTTCTATGATAAGCATCAGGCATGGATTCAAACAAACAAAACCAATAGATGTTATATATACACATATGAAAAGAATAGAACATACGACAAAAAGGCGAAAGCACGTGCAAAATACAGCTAACCTGTGCAAATCAATTTATAAATGGCTTTGCACCTCACAAGACTTATTGCTTGATCCAAGAAGTACAAAACACATTTGGGCTGCTCTTTCTTTTTCTTTTTTTTTCTTCTTGTGGCAATTGATAAACAGGAAGCAATTGCATTTTGTCACAATGAGATACAAAGGTGTTATGTGTATTTGTTATTCCTCGTAATGATAATGCCTACACTACAAAATGGAAGAAACCATTAATTAAATTTGGTTCATGAAGCTAGAGACAACAGAACTGTTTCTGTTTCCAGTATTTAATAAGACTACATTACCTACTCCTGAGCTATGGTATTAATACCAGGCCTTAAGTACAATACTTTCACTTCTCCAAAAAAAAAAGAAGAGAAAGAAAGAAAGAAAAAAAATCAGAGTAGCAGGAGTTATTTCAATTCTGTGATCAGTGTCTCTCAGTTTTACATTAATGAACACAGCTTCATATCCCACTGTTGTATCTTTGATAGCATTCAAGACATTATCTAATCCTAGGCCAGTGATCTTTCAGTGATTACAGGAGGGACAGAAAGCAAACCAAAGACTATTATTTTAGTCAAAGAGGCATCTTGTGATAATCATGTTAGGGTAAAAGACGTGTGAAAACCAAGTAGAAGGCTTAAAAATATCACATCAGGCACAATACACAGGTAGGCAAAGCCCTCGGAGCTATCTGTAGCCAGGTAATGTTCATGTTTTAAACTCCAGTTCGAAGTGAGAAGGAAAATACCACATCTTCAAACTGCGCGTGGGGAAAAAACCCACCTGTATTACACAGGCCATGGTAACCGGCAGGCCTGCTGGTAACACTGAGAGAGAGCTCGGGGACAGAGCAAGCACCAAGGCAGAACTGCTGTCCAAGCAGCAAGGGCCTCCGCACAGTGAGCCGTGCAAGGGTCCTCTTCACCAAAATGTTTACCGGCACAGCCATTTTTACATGGACAGAAATAGAGGAAAAGCTGAGGCATCAGACAAAATGGGAACATGTGATCACTGTGCTCGTTGGGGAGTGTCCTAGAGACCTGAATGCAGCATTCTAGTCCTCTTATTAAAATAGTTAACCACAAAATTAACTTTCTGCATACATTTACACTAGTACTCAACATTTATAGACCCTTACTTTTAACAAGCTGGGATTTGGGGGTTTTGTTTTGTTTAAAGGAGAGCATCCATGCAACATTAATTCATAGTAAAGTGCAGATCTATAATATTCTAAGTCGTTTTAAAAGTCCCTTAGTCTTAATGTATACTCAATGCAAACAGTCAATCTAACCTTCCTAAATCTTGAAGAGATGGTGCTTTTACAGCAGGAAAAGAAGGGAAGGCAGAAGAAATAGACAAAGAAAATTACAGAGAAAATGGAGGAAGAGAATAGGTAAAACAGAGAATTACATTTTAGCTATTGTAATCTGTAACAGTAACCACTAAACTACCGGAACATTTTACTGTACCATCTCCTCAAGCTTACTAGCTCACTGGCTTGTATAAACTGCATGTGGAAATTAGTTCAACAATCATGATATTCTTGAAACCACTTTGAATGCAGTATTTACCTGTATGCTGCAGTTTTCAGAAACACATCTCTGGATATCACATAGTTCCATGTGATGTACAAAAGCAACAGAAAAAAAAATGCATTACATCTTTTGTTATGGTTCTTTTATAGCATCTTTTGGAGGGTTCAACTGCTTTTCAAGATGAAGGAATATCTTCCCCTTTGAAGACCTCATGTTGCACTTTTTTTAAGTACGGTCAGCTTCAAAAAGAACTGCTGATTTCACATTTTTTTAATTGTTTAAATAACTACTCATTTAAGACACAAGGAGCAATGTCAGAATAGATGGGGATCGAGAGATGAAAAATACAGAAAAAAAGAAAGCAAGGAAACAATAACAAATAGAAACAAACAAAAGGAAATGGAGAAAGGAAAACAAGCCTTAAGTGTTCTCTAGGAACGGTCTGAACACTCAAGCTAATTAAATCTGGATGAGCCCTCTGAAGGCAAGAGAAACAGACTGCTTTCTCTGGGTTTCGGCATCTTAGATTCGACCGCAGCATTGTCTTACAGTGACTGGAAATAGGCTGCAAAACAGAGGACACTGTTATGCCCTCCCTGCCCTGCAATGGCAAACTAGAAGGTAAACCGAATTCAGTGTATCAGAAAGGAAAACAGCCATCCAGAAATGCACTAACGAGTCGTGTTGCCTGGATAAAGCCAAAGATAACATAAGTCATCTTAATGGTTCTGTCTCTTCTAAATAGCCTTCTAAAAACTACGCAAGGGAGAAAAACTTGCATTTTCAGAATACAGTTCCACTTACAAAACGTGATAGAAGAGCCAACCTGTATTAAATGAGCAAGAGCTCTTCCTCAGCAAAAAAGGACTTTAACATGTTCTGGCAGACTTAGAAGTAGTTTGTGCTTGAAATAGGGATGCAGAAATAAGAACAACTAGTGCATGGCTCTGCAGGGCCCTAGCTTAGTACAAGCTTACTGCAAGCTCCTAAAAACGTACTGAATTTTACCCAAATTTTTGCATGTCAATGAAATGATTGAAACTTTGGCTGTGGTAAAAAGAAAGGGAAAAAAAAAAGTTACAGTAGAAAAGCCACACTCTGGAAGTATGTGGTAACCTCAGAAAAGCAACAGCTGCCCCACATGCAGAGAGTATCATAGTGAGGAAAGGATGGCGTACACTGCACTAAAAAATAGCCCACATTCAGCTAATAGCAAAGGTTGTAATAGGAAATGTTTTCCTTGTAGCAGAAGGACAGAACGTGACAGAAGTATACAGCAATGGACAGAATACGCAGGAGACTTGGCAAGGCAGTTTGAAGCCTACTTTGGAAACCTTTTCCTAGACTCGGGCTTCTGTAACAATCCTCAGCAGTGCAGCAAGCAATACAAAACAAGGCTGCCGCAGCCTGCTAAACAGAGGTCCTTTCTCAGTAACACCTGCAAGAATGGCACGACCTGCAATTTGAAATGTTAAAAAGAATACGATCCGCTCCATCCGATTCATCTCTGGAGATGAGATAAGAAGGTACCCTGCAATTACAGAAGGAAACAGGATCCTCTTTTTCTGTTCCTCTTTCCCAGTTAGAAAACCAGCCACAAACAATGAACACTTGAAATGGAAAGGAGGGAACCCCCACAGCTATCCACTTTACTCTCCATCTTAATTTTAAAATGGATCATAAGCCTAATATTCCTCCAAAAATGCATTTGATGATATGTAAACATTTAGTCAGGCTTTTGTCTCACAGATTTTACAGCACTGGAGAAACACACATGAGAACCTCATATTCTCTCATTCACTTGTAGCGGAAAGCAAGACAGGCAGTGAATTGTATCAGCTCAAGAGATGAGATTATCAAGCCAGACAATTCCTCAATTCCTTGAAAGCAAAATTACTTTTTCTACCTCTTACTCACAGATTAAAGTGGAAACATTAACAACAACCCTCCCAAAACAGAACTCAATTTGCAGAAGAACATTTCTTCAGCACAAAACTAGCCTGAATATAATCAGTTTTATGATAGCTATAAGCCTTTTCTTTTAGAGTGGTCCTTTATCTGTCAGATAAGGAGCAGCTGGTACAGTGAAATGCCCAAGGCTTTGTCAGAATTTCCTACTATCACAGGCTTTGCTTTCTCACTGAAAAAGATTCACAATTACAATAATTTCAAAGGACTTTAGCGTGGAGAATAGCACTGACTGCAAACTCCATTGCAATAGGGCTATTCATTTGCCAGTTTATGTGCTAACAGCACATAAGAGACAAAGGCAAAAGAACAACTAAAACCATTTAAATGATATCAAATGCTGAAACCAGTCATGATCTAGACCCTCATGAAGGAACTACACACACACAGCGTAGAAGGTTTCCAGGCAACTGATTGTATGTTTTTAAGGTTTATTTAGTTGCATTTGACTCAGACAAACTATCCAATGTACATGAAACAGTAAGGATCTCCCAGCTAAAGACCAGACCTCTAACACCCTGACCTGACACAGAGGTATATGGGAGCTGCACCCCTTGGCATAGATAGCAATGTGTAAGGGACCGAGTCTCACATGCATTCATTTTTAAGCAAAGCCCACTGAATCATTCCTCTTCTGTGTAGATGAAGAGCTTATAGGGAACGATAAGCCTAAGAAGAACTACACATTCATATTACCATTTTCTTCATAGAAAGACAATCTGAAACAACAACAACAACAAACTTATGTAAGAGAAAAACTGTGTTTAAAAGCTGGTGGAAAACTTGATTGAAATTTTAGAAATGTGAACCAAAGAGGGAGAAGGATGGAAGATTCTCCACTGCCACTTTTGGGAAGGTTTGCTGTTCGTTTTTAACAACCTGCTTTTTAACAACCTAGCACAAATACTAGGTTCTGTAATGAGCTGTACTGGCAGTGTTGGTTTTTTGATTAAACATGGATTACAGGTGGATACTGAAAGCCAAAAGCAGATGTTTAAATTATCTTCATAGCCCTGAGAATGCAACATTGCAGAAAACTTCCTGCATCTCCTTGATGTTACATATTCTCTGAACTACACTACCCTACCAAAAGTTAGTGCTCATTTAAAAAAAAAAAAAAAAAACATTACACTCAAACAGTCTTCATGTTCACTGATGCTGCAGAAGGATCTCTGGGGAACCCTAAGACATATGCTGTTGTTTCCATATATCTCTTCCTGAATCAGCTGTTTATCCATACCACCTGCTGAGCATGTTTAAGACAGACAGAACACTACTCAGTGTTTTTATTTTATGCGTAAGATCTATCCGTATTTTATGATCTATCATAAACCTCAAATTGTGGGGTCTTCCTCATTGCACTCGGTTAGTTATGGGACAACATAGGGCAAGGTGGATTTTTGTCAACCAGTTATATTAACGCTTTAAAGCGTGTTATTAAATCTTCATGAGAATCATAGGTAAAGAATATACAGCATTCAGATTAGTGCCTGAAGAATCACACAAAACTTCCTGGTTTCACTGTGCATGGATTTATGAGCCTTATATTTGATTAAACTCTTTTTCAGATTTGTACTGAGACACGAAAACTGATGGCAAGTTTGTTGAGATTTAAGAATCTTTAGAAAGTTTTGCACAACCCATCTCTGCATCTGGGTTCTTGTTTCCCCTGGTTCATTCCATCTCCTTTCACATTTTATAACTGCATTAGAGATTAAGGAAATTAACTTAACAAATTCCAATGGCCTGACACAGGAGAACATCCTTTTTGCATTACTCTCTCATATCATCTGAGATGCAAGGCAGCAAGAAAAACACGTAAATTTTTAACTCCTGCACATCAGAGCAACAGAATTGATTCTGTTCCACTCTCATCAAGAACAAAACCCATATAGTTGGATATTTCCCACAAAGCAGGTTACAGGATAGCTGCACACTTATTATTCAGAATAACCTTTAAAATTAATGAAAAGAAGAGAGAGGGAAAGCGCATGAGAAACCTCTGTTCCTTACTTAAACGTTAGTGCTCCTGTGACCAGTAGGATTTACACCAAGACATTCCTAGGCAGAAAATAAGTCAAAAAAATGTAAGATGGCCAAATGGAGAGGAACTTTACTGTCAGCATCTGGGAAAGAATAAGTGTACACAAAAGCATGCAAAAGGACAGAAAAAATGGTTTTAAAAGGTCTTTATCTAGAACCACGAAGATGCAGCTACCTTAGGCAACCTTCCAGAGAGTTTTTCAACACACTCTTGGAAGCATGGTGCTCACAGCTACTGATCACTGGCCACCAACTGGCTTGAACCAGTACAAACAAGACTGGCAGTGGTTCAGGACATTCTCAGAGACTAAAATTTCCCCTCTCAGGCAAAATTAGTGGTAAAAATGGTTGAGACACAGACCTAGACTTTACACATCATGTTATGACACAAACATTTCAGTGAAGATGGAAAATGCAAAGGTAGATGCTGAGACAAAAAAGATGCCATGCCTTCATTCTTCTCGTGCTGCACCAGGACACATTTCTCATATGTGATAAGACAAAATATAAAATATTTTGGAAGATTCCTTCTGCCATATCCCAGTATTTCTCAATATGAACTTAAAGCAATCTTTGCTAAAGCTAAAGAAATTAAAATGGTAGCACATCACACAAGAACGTATGCAGATTTCAGAGCTTCAAACATTCAACTTTCTATCCCACCAACAGAAACATATAGCTGCCAAATTGTGGTTTCTGTACAACCTGATTATATAGAAGGATTATGCCTGAATGATTCATGTACTACTGAGGGCCATGAAATCTTCTGAAATTTGTATTAGAATACTACCCCCAGTCATTCATTTTCTGCTCTGAATATTTGTCAATACTGAGCTGCATGAATAAATACACTGAAAAACTTCTTACTGTGCTGGGGGGAAGATGAAGCTCCCCATAAACAGTAGCGGAGATCAAGCACAGAGCATTTTTCAAATTTTGCTGCATGTATGCAAGTGCTCCATAATCCTATGTAAATCTGAGCATTCAACGGAATTTAGAACATTTTGAATCATTAGTATTAATACAAACTACTCTTGCATCAGAGGAAATTAAAGTCCATTCTTACAAAACAGATCATTTCACTGTTTTCTGAATTCCTTAATGGCAAAGAAAGAAAAGGAAACCTCCATCAAATAAAGTCACTGTGAATAGTTTTCTGGCACCATTTATTCCAGAAGTCATATACATAATGCATGTTCTATTAACCAGTCACTTCATTGCTTCAGTTTTTACATTTTCCACCTGCTACTAACTTCAGTCCTCGTGTCACCTGAGACTGCGATGCTTTTCAAATTAATATCTGAGTCTAAATCTTTTCATAGTAAACGGAATATTTTTAGATAACATACGAATTAACCTTGTGTGCCTTTAGAAATTGTTTAGTGTTCTACACTAATATAGCATATTTTCAGAAAAATAAATCAAGAGGTTCCTGACGTGAAATGCTGACAAAAACATCCTTAAAACCTGTGGGAGCAAAAGGTATATTTATACATAATCTACATGGATTTTACACATGCATATAAAATACGTATCTCTTTGTTTTGTTTCCTTAAAGGGTTATTGTAGCAACTAAAGAAGTCTTTCATCTGTGACAAAAGATAAAGTTAAGTTACACTAGTATTAAACTGAAGTTGCTCATGAAAAGCCAATCACATAGTCAATTCTACTTCTGTGTCTGATAACAAAAGGCTGGTAACAAAACACCTTTGTTAGCGTCTCATTCTCTTTTGCTGTTGTTGAAACCTTTTCACCGTGATAAATAACCTCACACTAGCTACATTTTATTTTGCTTGCTTTCTGTGCATTCATTTTTCAGTCTTCAGTGTTTTGATTAGGATTCTACCCCAAAAGCCACACGAGTCTTCTGATGAGGCCATCACATCACTACATCCGTGGAATTTACGGAGTACCATCAATCACATCTAGGCAACATCTATATGCAGACAGAGTTGTTCTGAATAAATCAAAACACTCTCAGTGCATCAGTTGGCAGAGTTCTTGAATACGTTGCTATGCAAAGTGTAACAAGAAGCATGAGTCCTTATGCTTTGTTGGGTGAAAGCAGTGATACAAATGCAGATTAGAGGATACTTTGAGGAAACTCTGTTCTACTTTGATAACACAAGGAAGGAAGAAAGAGATAAAGATAATTAATTATTACAGTCTCTCTTTTCTTCCTTCACTAGCACTGCAGAGGAGCACAACTTAGTTTTAGCTTGACATTCTTGAACTTATTTTTTACCAGATAACATCCCGGCTACCTAAACACTAGATATAAACCGTTCATGCTGAATATTTTGGGTCTATGTCTGCATGCTTATATACACGTATGCAAACGTTGCAATATATACTATTAATGGAAGAATGCATTAATGGAAGAATTTCTTGAAGTATTCCCTGTAGTCCACTCAACACCCAGGATTAACTGTTTTTACATATTAGACAATCTCTTAAGCCTCATCACATTTTAAAGCAAATATGTCATCTCCCACACAAAAGACCCCTTGTACTTATGCTTAAAACAGAAAAAAACTGCATACAAAGGGTATGTGAGTAAAATTCTCCTTCATTTCATAAGCTAAGTAGATAGACAGACAACAGCTTTTATTAAACAAGACACAACTCCCAACGACCTAAATCAAGTCACCAGAACTGCCAAGTAAACACTCTCTTCTGCTGCTGGATATAAACTTCTGAGTACCAAAGTAGTTCTGTTTCCTGAAGAAGTCTTCACAGTTGGCCCATTTAATGGAAAGGATGAGCCAGATCGTAAGGTTTCAAAAAGATAATTAAAATAATACATTCCTATTTTGAGGAGTCTTTTTTAAATAACAGTTGTAATTTTCCACTCGCCTGTGGCAGGAGCTCTCCACTTAACCCATAGCACTTGAGTTTGCTGGACTGTAACAATGGTCTCAGACTAGTGCTCTGCATTGTCAGGAAGCAGGGTGCAGCAGAAAGAAAGTAAACCAGAAAGACCCAGAAGCAGATTGCCACACTCCATATTTTATTGCCATCTCGCAGTGGCTGATGGCATCTGACTGAAAACGAGAGCCAGAACATACAGGTCTTCCCACCAGACCTGCCACCCCACACACATCAGCTGGCCTCTGGCTCTAGCCTTGAGCAGTAAGGGAAAGCTCTTGACCTGCAGAGCACTGTGAGACAGTGAAATGAGGGTAGCATGGAGTTTTTAGAAGTCCAGATACGACATGAAGGGCCTATTTGCACCAGGAAACAAATGAAGCATATTCTAAATCACTGAATGGAAGCACAGGAAAACCTTTGGGCATTTCAAAAGCAGTTTAAAAACATGAGCTCTCAACACTTACATTTCATTTGCTTGAAGATGGACTTGTTGGGCTCAAGCCAGTGCTGGAAAGGCAAAGCAGAGAGCAGAGGTTAATATGGATCACAGCAGACAACAACATCGTTGTAGATGTATATGGTACCAAAAATAGGAAGTAGGATTTTTGCTTCACTGAGACATACATAAACTGGAAGAAGCACCTCCATACTGTTGTAATACTGGAATTGCACTGTATAAGTGTACTTGAAGTTACCACTGCTTGTAAGATGCACTTGAGATAAAAATAAGACAAATATTTCAAAGACAAATTGAAAGGAGACAGGCTCTAGTGATTACTTTGCAGCAGACATTTCAGTCTTACACTTTCAGCCATTTTTTTCCAGAAGAATGATCATATTGGACAATAGGACAGACTATTCAGAAATGTTAACGTCGTCTGTTCATTAATGCTGTCTTCTACAGTTCTTATAACTAAAGCATGTGTAAATACTGCATTCTCAGTCAGCGCCCTCAGAACACAAGCTATTGTTCTTTTCTAGCAAAAATTAAAAATCTGAACGGAAAAAGAGTGTACTTTTCCATGAAATGTTTACGCCATGGACAGTAAATGAGACATAAATGAGACAGTAAATGACATCCACAGAGAGGTATGGATGCCTACCAGTTGGTGTGTAACTTTCCAGGGAAAGACTGCAATGGCAGGAAAACTTTCATTTTTTTATTCTCCTGGAAAATAAACTCAGATGCTTCTGTGACGAAAAGCTAGGCTCACATTTTAGTTAAGAGCCTTAGCACATCCCCTGGTAACACTAGCTGAACTGTTCAGGAGGATGTTTTGATTGACAAAAGAATATGCTGATATTCAAGTGCTACTTCTGACTACAGCCAACAGCATGTGTACTAGGATTTTTCCTGTAAGCAAAAAATCTCCACACTAAAATGAGATTTGTGCTGCAGAAGCAGCTGGTCAAAAAGCATAGTATTCAGCTTTAATAAGCATAATCGACACTGGAAGGCCTTGCACTAAGGGGTTTCATTTTTAACCCTCTTCATTCTAGCTCTAAAACCCTACAGTCTACTGCAAAAAGAAAACCTAGCATTTTTTAAACCATACGTAATACTTAAAATATCCTACATTAGCTACAATTTTTTCTCATGATTTATAGTAATTCTACTACAGAGAAAGGGCAGAGGAAGATATTTTGTAGGAATTTAGGTGACAGAAAATTATTATTTTAAAAATCATGACATCTCAAGTATTCAGTCAAAATCAGGGCTAACTGTAAATTCACTTTCTGGAACAGAACTTCTGACAAAAAAAAATCCCTTGGAAAGAACATTTTCAAATATCTGCAGCTTATATGCTATGGCTGCTCAGAAACTCCTGCATATAGTTTACAGCAATATCGGAGATAAGCATGACTATGTATTTCTGTTTGAAGCTCACTTACCACTGAGAGACTGATATAGAACCCTGGTACTCAAACAACAACAACAAAAAAACCCAATAAACCAACAAACCCAAACTTCAAAAAACAACAACAACAACAACAAAAAACAACCCCACACCATTTCTTCACCTCTTCCCTCTCCCCAGTATCTCTCTTTTCTGAGGAAAAGAAGAAAGAAACAGAATTGAGAAAGCAATGACAGTTTCACCAACTTACCAGAAATATCTAGTTCATTTCATTCTTTTTTAGATCACACAGATATATTATTCATACATTTTGCTCTGAATAATGGGGGGTGAGGGTTGTTCATAAAAAGGTAAGGCAATTTAATCTGATACAGTCTGCAGTACTTACAGATACATAATCCAGAATGAATTCACAGATAGGAAACCAGTCAAGACACACAGATATGCAAGTTTACTTTCTTTAACCTCTTCACACGCCCAGCCTATCTCCACCAGCATCTAGGCAGTCCCAGCTGAAGATTCAGACAGCAAATTGGAACCTGGACAGTGAGCCATCCTGTACTGTTCCCAGGAAACTGGGAGGTAAGAGGTATCTCACTATTTTCATCTAGCAGGAGCACAACACAATTTGTTTGATATTTCTTTTTAAAGGCCAGGCTGAAATATTAGCATAGACCAGGTCAGCATTTAAAGCTGTTTGAAAAAATCAATTACCTATTCTTACAAAAAGGCAGAGGTATAAAAAAACAATTTGCAAATATGAAACACTCATAATTCACTATGTGAATAATGAAAAAGGGGAAATGGATGAAATTACTCATGCTGTGCACCAAACCCCCAGGAACGCAGATTTAGCTAACATGTCCAAACGCAAACATGTTTCACTGAGACCTGACTTTCATGGGTTAAAAATGGATTGAAAAGACACTGGGCAATTAAGCAGTCTAGACTTTCACTTGGAGGTCAAGGAATTGACAGGCAGTTTTTAGAAGCTCAGATTTCTGTGGTGACCTTCTGTTGGTGGAAGATTGCAAATGTATAGGCAATTCAGCTGAATCTTCCAGAAAACTGAGCAGTTACTTCACAATTTGTGGAGATTTTCAAAGACACAGCAATTAGGTGCTTACTGCTCTCTGAGTGTCAGGGGAAGATAAACATCTAGTCATTGCTAGTACTTCTGAAAGTAGCCACTCCTATATTTGTTTGCATATTTCAATTTGAGTTTTAGGGAAGATTTTCCCCTGAGTACTTATCTTCCAGCCTCACAGCATTGACTATTAATAATTAATAACTGTGCCTCATCTCTACTGTAGCGTATTCATGCTATATTTATTCCAAGATTAATTAGCTGTTATAGCAAGGACCAGATTAAGGTTCCTATAAATTCATTGAAGGATTTCTGCATGAATCTGGCTTTGCAAAATGCTTTTTCCATGTATCAATCTTTTTTTTAACAATTTTGCTGAAAAAGAAAAAAAATCCTCAGATGAAAGGAAAATACAACATTTCGAGTTAGCTTGCCAGGCCAAATTTTAAAAGCCTTTTAAATCTTCACCTGCAAAAAATTTTCCTTACTACACAGTATGCCACACTGCCTTGCGGGAACACACCTTAGGTGTTTCCAATTCTTTCTTGTAAGGCTAAAACCTCATAAGACAAATAAAATAGACAAACAAAACAAGTCAGAGGTAAACTTGGAACCAGAGACAAGAATCTTTAATTTCTCTCCTTGCAGTAAAATGTGTGAACTAGCAGAAGGAAAAAAAAAACAACAATCTTACACAGTTTCATTTTTGCCTCATGTATTTCACACTGTTGTCCATAAAGGTTGCTTTAATTGGATGATAGCCTACACCCTCAAACCAGCTTGGCTTTATATGTGATAGTATTTAACGATAATCGGAAATCATTCCTGCAGAGGCTGAGCCTCCCATTTCCTTGATGGCATGTTAGCAACGTGGTGAAGAAATGACTTTGATCCTAATCCAGCTAACACCTATTACCAAGGATCCTGTGAGGACATTCATGTTCAGCACTGCCAACTTCTGATCTCTTCTGCCGAAAGAGGTTTGGGTAGCAGCTGGGTATCTAGACGGTCAGGCAGACATCCTCACAGAAGCAGAAGGCAGAGAGAAAGATACTTGGAGATCTTGAAGGTCAGTCATGGGATAGCTACTGAGTCTTGGTGCTTCAAGTGCCAGTGGTGAGTAAGCAAACTATTATGGATATTACTTTTGGTCCTGAGATCCTAAATTATGCTGAGAATTGCCTTCTGACTAAGGTTTCATTGCAACTGCATGCTGTGTTTCAAACTTGTGCAATTTTTACTTTGTAAATACAGCCGTCACCTGTGATCAGCCTTTAAGTGGCACTGAGTAGTCATTAGCGAGGCCAGGTGTATTCTTGCTTACCCACAAATGCTGAGCAGCTGGTGTGCTACCACCTTCCACAGCAAATGCTCAGGATAAGCAAGGACACCACGCAAGGGTAAAAGCACCATTCTAGGAAGTCAATTTAACTCCACAAACACTGATATGCTTTTAGTAAAGACACTTCAGCCAACAACCTGTTTTGAATGAAGTCATTCACTGAGAAGCTCAGACAGGACTGAGCTTGGTCTCAGTACAGCACAGGGTTAAGGGTTTTAGAATAAGAAGCGGGGAGGAAAGAGGACACAATGTCCCATATCTATTTTTACAGCCCTTGTAAGGGGTCAAGTGTCATTAAAATCCCCACACTGTTCTTCCTCTGCAACAGCCACTCTACAGTGCAAAGATGTGTGATCCAGTCTCCTCTTCCTCTGGCCTCCTGCATAAGACTGGCATAAACTCCTAAAAAACTGCCAAACCAAAAGCAGCTGCTTGGGACCTGACCAACCAGAAGTCCCATGAATTCAGTGAAAACTCTCTCCCCTCCTCCAACACAAGAGGCTTTTGATTTAGTCCCTGTGTTTGCAAGAGGAGCAGTAATGAAGGGGCAATCAAAAGTGGCCAAATGCTGTGAATATTTAAATCCCCCTCTGCAAGCAATACTCAGTCAAGTGCTCAGATGTGCATACAGTAAAACAGAATCAGAAGAATCTGCAGATGTCACAAGAATATTCTAGCCAGGCAAGGACTGGATTTGAAGACTTTGTTTAACGGACAGAAGAAAGCAGGAGAATGGAGATACGCACTAAAACATTGCTAGAAAAGTAATAAAATTAATTTCATTTAAACCTCAACCTTATATTAATCTTGAAAATTAATACCTAACCTTTTCCTTGAATGAAAAGCAAAATCAAAATCAATTTGCTTTAGCCTCAAGGCAGTGACTTGCACCAGGTCACCGCCTGCCAAAAGTCAGACTCAAAAAAACAGTAACAGTATCCAAAGCTAATAGAAGCTCAGACAGGGGAATTAATTGGGTGCCCACTCTATACCAGCACAACAGATGCCAAATGACCCAGGGCACCCTGCATATCTCCTTCTTCATACCCTGAGGCTGACACCATTTTTCACGCCTTCAAGAACCTCTATACCAAGAATATCGGCATTGCAGCAAAGGACCTGTTCCTCTGTACTGTTCCCAAAATCAGGGCATTGGCTCTGGTTGGTGGTATGCTAAGCAGGAAGAAACATGTACATCACTGTCACAAAAATG